ATACACACTGTTCTCAGCACTCAGTGCCCAACTGGGTCTCTGAATCTGGAGTGAATTTCTATTATGAAGGTGTAACTTACCCAGCAAGGTAATCTAACACCATTAGACTAATTCCATGGAAGCCTAAGGTACCTATGAGAACACAGGAGTGGAACCCTCCCTGAAATTATGTGCAACATTGTATGCTGTGTGTCTGTGTCTGTGTGTGTATTACATATGTGAATATTTCTAGCGAGATGGTCCATGATCTTCATCACATTTTCAAATGGTTCCCAGAACTCCTCCCCCAATGTTAAAAGAAAACACCTAAGTAATCAATAAAAAAGGCACAAAACACCTTCTCCTTATTATATCCACCATCTTAAGATCAATTGTTCAACATGTGATTTTATTTTACATTATTTTGTTTTCTAAAGGAGGGACTAGTAAAATATACACAGAGTACTGGGTTTTAGAGAAATTTTAGAGGAGCCTGGAGATCCGTCGGCAAAAAAAAAAAAGTCTTATTAAGGACTGTATTTCCTATCAAAGTAGTAAATCACATATGGAAACACTTCCTTTCTTAACTAGATTGTTCCATGATATAATGTACTTTGATAGCTGCCTACAGCCAAATTAAGCAGCTGGTCACTGAACATAAGTTCAAAATACAATACTCCAATAGAAGATAAAATCAAAGGTCCAAAAGTTTGCTTTTTTAAGCAGGTAGTTTTGAAATGGGTTTCACAGCAACAATATCTAATATCCCATCACCAGAAGTCTTTCCAGAGAACAAAAATAAAAACTTTCTTCTGCAGCATTTCTAATCCAGACCCTACATCTTGCTCATAGTGTCGCCTTAAGAAACTTTTCACAGTTAAAAGCATCCATTAGCATTAAACAAAATTATGCGATAATTCTGATTTTACAGAAAGGTTCTTTAGTTTACCCAGGGCTCCTTTCGGCTGAAGGGCTAGAGGCAAACCCCTTCCCTTCTCTGACCTCCACATTCCAGTGTGTGAAATGAGGGGATTAGGTTAAACCAGAAGTTTTCCAATCTGCTGTCCAGCAAGGTCCAACTCCATTTTTAAAAACTGAGATTTCCACCCAGCATCCCAAACATCACCCATCAGAATCTTATGGAGTGGGTCTCAGTATTCTGTATTTTGAAAGTTCTCCAAGTAAATATAGAAGAGCATTTAAACCACTTGACAAGCTAATTTTTAAGGCTTCTTGCAGTTCTGGTATTACAGGAACAACCAAATAGTTATTAGGAGGGAAAGAGCATGGCCTCGTTCTGGATACAGAAGCTGGCAGAATTAGCATCAGAGAAGCTCATTTCCTTTCAGCGTCAGAAAACACATGCTAACACTGTGACACATAGCTCTGGGGGAGTGAGCCCACCGTCACTCATGGCATTCAAGCAGAGCAGGGTGGATGCCTGCAAGAGACTAGAGCCTTTGCAAGAGACATACTTGCACAAAATATCTATTTGTTGTTTATGTGAATTCAAATTTAGCTGGACCTGTATTTCAGTTTGTGAAATCTGGCAATCCTGCACTGGTGACAAGTTTAATGGTGACCTCTAATGTCCATTCCAACTCTCAGAGCTTAGGACTGCATGGAAAAAAACCTGGAACTTGTTACTGAACACCAGCACCCTCACGTCTAGACTCAAAGCCAAATACTGTGAGCAGAAAGTAAAAGTTCCTTGATGGGGGAATCACCGTGGGGTCCCATCTGAAATGGCAAAAATGACAGGCGACCCAGATCCAGCTTCTTGGCTCTCCCGCTTGAAAAACAGATTTCAGAAATGACTCAGGAACCTCTCCTGATTTTCAGAATCCAATAGAAAATACTTCATCCTTTTCAAAATGAAAACCATGATATCATTTTGATGTTAGAAATTTTGTTTTATGATAAAATGAGATTTTGATCTCAAGGCTTAGAGTGATGCTATTATATTGGATAATTTAGGCATGAAATCATGTTTCAGATAAACAAACCTGTTTCCATAATCAATTTTGGCTGTGACCTTCTTCTTCAGTTCTTTGAGCTCATCCTGCGGCAGAGTGCCAGAAAGAATCTGCGATCGCCATTCAATAAGGTCATAGATCATGTGCCGCACGCTTCGAAACATCTCCCTATTATCTTGCTATACAGGGGGAAAAAAGCCAGTTGTAAAGTTTTTGGTATAAAATAGCATTGGAGACTGTATCAAATGATTTTTTCTTCAAATATACATGTAATATATGGACTTTAGTTAATGTTAAATTCAAAGGTGCTTTTAATATAAATTGGAGAACACATTATACAGAATTTGGTTCCTACGAGACATTTAAAGATTAAAGAGTACAAGCTAAGTAATGTACAATCCCCAAAATTCTATCTAACATACCAGAGTATATACCAAGGAATGAAGATGCTGACCCCAGCAGAGATGGGCGCTGACCCCAGCAGAGATGGGCTTTGACCCTCAAAGCCTGCTCATAAGCTTCTAGCATCTTGCCCATGGATGGACAATTCTTAAAGCTTCCTCAGAATTAGTCTGACTAAGTCTAAAGATCTGAGTCTTTGCTCACCTGCATAGTCTTCAGAATACCCCGTACCCTGCACCACTCTCAGTACACTGAGAAACTGAACCCTTCCACCTCGCTGTCAAGTGAGCTATTATAAGTGAACATTCTACGCTGCGCTCCCTGGTGCAATGTGGTCTGTACGGCCCACACAGAGATGCTTCTGCAAGAAGCCAAATCTCAGAGTTCTCAGTGTCTGTATGCCAAAAGGAAAATGCAAATAAAACACAAAATTTACACTTCCTACCACTTTTTACAAATTCTAAATGGGATTAACGGTACAAAGAAAAGCAACTTTGTGCAGTCGCAAGAATGCAATCATCAAAGAGATTAGGAATTATCCAAAGGGAAGATAACCCAGTGGTTCTTTCCACAATAAGAAATCTAGGTGGAACCTAATGTGATAAAATTCTAAACATCATGATTCCTTTAAAAAATTTAAATGTGGTCATTGCTGCTTCTTAAAATAACTTCCCTTCAATATAGCTGAACCAATCACTCCACTATTTCTAGTATCTGACTTTCTTTCTAGAAGTTTCTAAGATCCCGATGACCCACCCGTCACATAGCACTCTAACAAGCTGTTTTACATCCCATGAGCTACTCTTTGTAATATTATCTTAATTTTAGTTTCTTAAATGAAAAGTA